CCCAGTGCTGCGTGGCGCTTTACCTGTTGCTGCTGCTCGGGGAGGGCTGGTTGCTGGCGTTCGGCTGCGCAGCCTGGCTGTGCCTGGACTGGGAGACGCCGTGTCGCGGGGGGCGCCGCTCCGCCTGGGTCCGCGGCTGGGGCGTCTGGCGATGCTTCCGCGACTACTTCCCCATCACGGTGAGGAGAGGAGCGGGGAGGGGAGGCTCCCTGCGCTGGCGGGGGGGACGGGCCTCGCGGTGCAGCCTGCGCTTTCCCGGCGGGGGGCGCCGGCTCCGCCAACACCGCCCTTGCCAGCAAACTGCCCGGGGCTGGAAGCGGTGCTGGGAAAATCATCCGAGCGACGCGGGGTCGCTCTGCTGGAGAGGTTTTCCTTCTCTGCGTCATGGACGGCACTGCCTAAGCGGCGGCTCCGCCAGAGTCAAGCGGCGTTGCTCCATGGCTGGCCCGGCCCCCTGCCTCACCGCCCCAAATGCCGTCCCTTCCACGCCCCTCAGTCAGAAAGAGCTTGGTAGCCCTCTTCAGACTGACCCGTTTTAGTAAAAGGCTCGAGACCCTCGGTGCAACGGAGGGGCTAGAGCTCGGCAGCCTGTGTTGCAGAGCGGGGTGCCCTTCCGCCCCCGGACAGCCTAGCGGTTGGGAGCCTGGGCCGGGAGAAGGGGGGAGTGAGGCGGCGGGGCGGGCGGGGAGCTGGTGTCGCCCAGCGGCTGTGCCTGGTGAGGAAGGATCGGCCGCTGCGTCCTTCCCGGTAGGAGTCTGCCTTCTCTGCGCTCGGGGTTGCTCGGCTGAGCTGAAGGGGGTCCCCAGCGAAGGGGGTTAGCGTGAAAGGAGCCTAATAGGCAGACCGGGGACGAACGATAAACGGTGAAAATGTAATATAAAGTGATCCATTGACTTCATAACTTGGGAATCAATTACAGTAGAATAAAATGATCAGTCCCACGAAGCAGTTGAATTGTAGTTTAACTGACTAAAACAATTGAGTCACCCTGTTCTTCTGTGTTTTCTTTGGCTGTTGGTTTCCTTGTGAGTCTCCAATTAAAGTTGATGCTTCGTTTGTTTTGCAATACTTATAGATTGCCCTAGTCTATAAATAAGTACTGTTTTGTTTATAAATATTTTAAAACAAATAGTTACATCTCAGGGCCTACCAATTAAAAGTGACACTAACAGCCAGTGAAGATGCAGGCAACTGTGTTGCTGGATTGTTAAGCGAGCTCATTTGCCAATTTCCTTGGTCCTCTGCTTCTGCACCGGGTCTCGTAGATCTAGATGTCCTGTCTGTAACTACATCGTGAATGTGCTGTCTCCAAATGTTTCCCTGGCATGAAAATTCCTCCTGTCTGTTTGGCCGGATCAGGGTGCATTTGTTAATTGCAAGCCTATTCTGAACATTTTTTCTGTTTTTTTCCTAACATGTTCTCTTTCCCATAGTCTGAAGGGGTGCATTTGCTCTAAACAAAGGTAAATGTCATGGCTTTAATTGCTCGTTTTAACTGTGAGGAATTACAGGTGTGGTTTGGTTTTTTTTGTTTGTTTTTTTTATCTGCGCTCAGTCGTTACCGACTCTGCAGTGACTGCTTGGACGAGTCGTTGCAGTTTTCAAGGCAAGGTGTTTCGGAAGTGGTTTGCCAGTGCCTCCTTCCTAGAGCAGAGCCCGGCTGGCGAGCGCAGGAGGCAGGCTTTCCGTTGCTTTGCGCCCTTTTCGGGCGAGCGCAGTTTTTCGCGCTTACCGGCAACTGCTCCCAACTCCTTTTGCAAGGGAGGTAGTGCATCTGTGATTTCTTGTCCACTAAACCCTTCCGTCAACTTCAGTTGCATCCCACGTGCTCCTAGAGGGAGAACCCCAAGGTGGAGTCTTGGAAATAACCTTTGGGTGAAGCTCCCAGCAAGTATTTTGGGTCCCCACGGTTCATCTGTTTGAGGCTCGTTTGGATTCAGGCGGTGGCTTCCAGATCCTTTGTTTTCTGCATCCTTAAAGTGAGAGCTTGGTTCAGGCTTTGTCAGTAGGCCGTGTTCCCAGTCACCACCACCACCACCACCCACCCACGTGCCAAGATGAGTGGCTGCAAGAGCAGGCTGCTGGCCAAGACAGAAGTGGCGTTCTCCTTCCTGGGCAGCCGTGGGGCCTTGTTTTAGGGAGAAGCTTGGTACAGAAGCACCTGTGTTGTGCCGGGCCAAGGTCTCGGCAGCCTCCCTGCTCAGGAAGCCTCTTTCCCTACAGCCTTCTTGGCTTGGAAGAGTGCAGGCAGCCAGGGCAGATCTCCATGGGCCAAAGGCATGGACGGCTGCTGGGTCAGTCCGCAGCGCTTCGATTCCTGATCCATTAATACCTCAGTAATTGGAGCTCTCTTGTCTGGCTGGCTCTGCTTTTTCTCCCCTGGCAGCTGGTGAAGACATCAGAGCTGGACCCCTCCCGCAATTATCTCTTTGGCTTCCACCCCCACGGGGTCCTGGTGGCCGGCGCCTTCGGGAACTTCTGCACAGAGGCCACGGGGTTCTCCCAGCTCTTCCCGGGCCTCACCCCGCACCTCCTGATGCTGCCCTTCTGGTTCAAGGTCCCCTTCTTCCGAGACTACATCATGAGTGGGGGTGAGCTCTTTTGGGGGCATCTAGGCATGAAGAGCCCCTGGGCTGTGGGGCTGCTTGTCTGCTAGGCAGCGAGGAGGGCCAGGGCAGAGCCTCACTCTGAGCCCCTCTGCTCTTTTTGTTCTAGGACTGGTCTCTTCGGAAAAGGCCAGCGTGTCCTACCTCCTTGGACGTGAGGGGGGCGGGCAGGTGGCTGTCATTGCTGTGGGGGGCCCGCCTGAATCGCTGGATGCTCGCCCTGGGGCTCTGACCCTTCAGCTACGCAGCCGCAAAGGCTTCATCAAGATGGCCTTGCAACACGGGTGAGGGGCAGGGGCCTCTGGGGCCGGTGCAGAGGGCAGTACGGCCAGGCCAGGTGGGCATGGGCAGGAATGGCTTCGGCAAGCAGGGGTGACCTGTGTGCTGCGTGTCCACCCTCTGACGGAGGTTCCCCCTTCCTCCCCCTTCCAGCGCATCCTTGGTCCCGGTTTTCTCCTTCGGGGAGAACGAGCTCTTCAACCAGGTGTCCAATCCCCAGGGCTCCTTCATCCGCACGCTGCAGGAACGGCTTCAGAAGATCATGGGGCTGGCACTGCCCCTCTTCCACGCTCGGGGCGTTTTCCAATACAACTTCGGCCTGCTGCCCTTCCGGAGACCCATCTACACTGTTGGTGAGGGTGCTGCTGTGGTTGGCACCTGGACAGGGAGGGTGCCAGGGTGCTCGATCGTCAGGGAACTGCTTGGGTCTTGTACATCCCGGCTGTCCATAACAGAACAAACCCCTCGGGGGGCAGAGCCGCCCCCATCTTGGGCAAATGGCTGCGGCTGGCTGTCTCTCAGCACTTTCCCCCAGTTCTGCCAGCATGCCTCCCAGTTTGGAGGTCAGCCACACTGACCTCCCTCCAGCTGATGCAACGGCCAGCTGCTGGCGCTCAGCTCCTGGTCTGTGTGTTGCAACCCCCTCTGAGCCAGCAGCAGCCTTGAACTTTGGTCAAGAGGGGGCTGAAGACTGGCCTCCTCTCCCTGTTGCGATGCTGTGGGGCAGGGCTGCTAGAATGCTTGGCCGAGTGGAGACGGTGTGCTGATGTGGCTGGCGGTTTTCAACATTGCTCCTTGCCCTAACGCTTGTTCCCGTGGGGGTCAGGGACAGGGAACATCCCGGGCCACGTGGCGCTCTTTAGTGTTCCTCAGGATTCTGTGCTGACCTTGCCGGGGTGTTCTGGGGCTGAGGCTCTTATGCCCCACAGGGGAGCGGGTTCTTGCTGCTGCTGCTGCTGCCCCTCCCAAGGTGACCGTGCTCAATAGGTCTTCCCTGTGCAAGGGACGCTGGTGCCTCCCCAGAGCCTCTGAGGAAGGAGGGAGGGGGCTGCTGCTGCTGCTCTGGGGAGGAGGGAGCCTTGCAGCTGGTTCAGTCCACTTGGCTGCAGGAAGTCAGGCTCCCAGGATCTCTGCCACCCCTTAGCCCCACTTCCTGCTAAGGGGTGTCCTTGGTGCCTAAAAGGGAGCTGTCTGGGGGCTGTCGGAGCACTCATGTCTGGCCTGCTCCCCCTCCTCAGTGGGAGCTCCGATTCTGGTGCCCAGGACGCCCCATCCCTCTCCGGAAGCCATTGATGAGTTGCACGAGATGTACCTGGAGAAGCTCACCCGGCTCTTTGAGGAACACAAGGCCAAGTATGGGTTGCCCCAAGACAAGCACCTGACGCTGACCTAGGAGGGCCCCGAGGGCCAGGCCAGTGGGTGAAGGACAACGCCTGGGCTGGGCGAAAGGACTGTGCAGTCGCAGGAGGACCCAGCGCTACCTTTTAGGACAGCTTTCACCAAACAGATGCTGGATTAAAGCTTCCATCATTCTCAGCCAGTGTGAGCGTTGCGTCCAACCGCTGGCAAGGCCTTTGAGGAGCACTGCTGGACTCTCGACCACGCAGAGGCAACAGTGGTGACCCCAAAGCAGCTGGGGCGGGCAAACGCCTGCCTTAAAAGCAGCTTTGTTCTGGGGACTCTTCAGTAGGGGTTGGGGGGTTCCTGGGCTGTGATCCCCTCTGCTGCAGGCACGCAACTCTGGCATTTCCTTTGCAAAGAAATAAAGTGGAGCACTGAATGCTTTGCAGGGCAGAGGGAGTCCCGTGGGGCAGGAGCCCAGCCACCGCTGCCACCACCCCCACCGCTCTCCCCAACAGCCATTCGGCCTCCTTTCTTCCTGCAAGAACCGGTGGGGATCCAGAGGGGGACGCCAGGGGGAAGGGAGCGGGATGACCGGTGGCCTCTGACCTCCGGAGCGTTGAGGGAGGGGAATCCAGAGCTGCGGCTGGGAGTGGTGAACCTGGGCAGGTTTTGCATCCGGCGTTGGCTCTGACAGGTGGAGCTGGCAGCCATTCTGGTCAGACGGAGGCCAGCATCTGCAGAAGCTGTACGGAGGGGGGAGAGAAAAGCAAGGCTTCCCAGCCCAGGGAGAGCCAGTTGGGCCTCCGCGTCGAGATTTTCATGGGCCTGATTTGGGACGTGCTGCCACTGAAGATGAACCTCTGGAGCCCTCCCATCACCGAGCACAGGAGGACTGGCTGGGCTCCTGGCAGGCCTGCCTTGGGCATCTGACGGGGTGGCAGGAGAAGCGCTGCCTGCTGGGGCACGCCCCGAGAGGCAGCATGGGGAAGGAGTCATCGACGGAGCTCGGCCTCCTGGGCCTGTGCAAA